CGTTACAAAGAAAAGCAATTGATTTCCGCCTGGGGCGAAAAACATCATAATAATACAAACGGACAAAATGTCTGATCTTATAGAAATTAAATTGCAAAGGTTCATATAAAGGAAACATACAAATCACTTACAAAAATGTCAATCCCAGGCTACAAAACAAAATCCATTTCTGGTATTACTAAAAAAAAAGAGATTTCTGATCGTTAACTGAGCAAACAATTTCTAAATGTGATTATTGTAAATATAAATAACTAAATCGAACAATGTAAACATTTATATAAATATATGTGTATATTCTATAAAAACAGATTGTTTTTCATAGAAATGATTCAGTGTTTCAAAAAGCAAGTGCATAACGGAGACTATCAAAAAAATGTTTACTCTTCATTTTGTCTATCGTTTTATTAAACGTTGAAGTCTTTTCTCAGACATAATTCGAATATACAGATGAATCATTAATTTATTCTTCACCTGACGAGAACTGTGATGTCAGCACACAAGGATATTTTGGGTAACGTAATGGCAGACACACTGGGTAGAGGAGGATCTGCAATCTGCAAGACCATACATATTCCTTGAACCTATTCGTGGGATATCAAACAAACACTGAATCCCCCATCACAGAATGGATCTAAAAAAGGCGAAAGGAGAATTGGATAAACTCTATTGGTGCTAGACACAATAAGCTTATCATAAAACAACCCTCATTCGTTCTGCAGTTAGAGTGGGCTAAACACGGGAATGATAGGACTATATACGGGTCGCTGGCATCTTAGAAAACATCTAGACAACGTGGATATATTCAACGATGACCCCATTTATAGGATATGCAATGAGGAGGAAAAACACCCACCCATATCATCTTTCAATGCGAAGCAACCGCTCAACGGAGTCAAACCCTGGGATACAAAAAAAAAAAAAAAAAAACTCAGGGAAATGAATGAAACCATGACAGTGTTGAAGAACAAACATGAAATGACCTAGTGCTTCTTACGAGAAGGATCGAGTCAATTGCACTGAGCTGAGAAACCTGAAATGTATAAACCAGAATGCTGCAGTGCTTGGACAACAAAAACCCCGACTTCCTAGTATTCATCATTACCATCATTAACAGGGGCGAAGAGGAGCTTCAAGACCAACTATAGGCCCAGAAATGTATAATCATGATAACAAGATCATCTATAGATCTTATCATCTATAGACCCATCATCTGAATGGGTTCACACAAAACGAACTCAGAAAGTACAATACAATAACGCAGAACGATACAGCGCTTGGGAAACAAACCCTCCCTGTCCTAGTATCCATCATCATCGTTCTCGCTAGATTGAAAACAATAATAACAATAATTCAGCAACATATATGGAAAATTATACAAAATTATCTTCCGAGAATAGCTGAAATTTTCGAACAGGGACGAAACCTTTCATTTCAGAGATCGTCTCTCTTAAATTAATAATTATTTGCGTTTTATCTCATCGCGACATTTCTAAATAATCATGAAACCATCTAAAGTAAATTTGATGGCGATATAAATGAGCATTTACAAACTGCGATTCAGTTGACTTAAAGGACGTTTTTGGAGGAAACGAGGTAGTAGAAGGGAACATGAAGCTTCTTTGTTTAAATCATATCGACCCCGGAGTCAAGCCTCTAATTCCGTTTGTCACAGTGTTTTATTTTGAGTAAGGTTCCACTAATTAAGAGCAAACTTTGTGCATGGAGAAGGGACGGGAAAGAAAGTAAACGGGCTTATTATATCACAGAAATATAATTAAAGAAATCAGTTTACAAATAAGACAAACCCAGAAAACACACACACACACAATCGAACAACTGGAGAGGTTGCAGCGTTTGAAAGATGTGAAAAGCCTGGAATCGTAATGGTGATAAAAGTGGTAGCAAAGCACTAAATCACATAAGTGTGAATTATGTCGGACGTCTTCCGCCTTGCATGATATGTAGTTTTCTATTACTCAGGCGTTTAAGTAAATATTTTAAACATACATTCCATGCTTAAACTTTCAGTACCTATTTTATATTCATTTAAACCATCATTGATTCTGTGATATACAATAGACCGACGGTCCTATCATACGTGTTCAACCATTCAGCACATTCAATTAATTTTAGTGACTTTTGAATCAACCATTAAATTTCTAACTTCAATTACAGTTTACTGTTAGTGAATTAAACCCTTTTCTACAGAGAATGAACCTGGTCTCATGAAATTCTGAGCGAGATAATTGCTTCAATTTTTTTTTTTTAATCAAGTGTTCTCGTGTATCTAGTCTTGATGAATATGCAACTCGTCATCCCCCTCTCTCGCATTGTATGTATATTCTACATCAAAAACTATCCTCTAATCATTAACATTTTTATGGCAGCAACGGGAAAAATTCGAGCAAGATCAGAAAATTGCTCCTCCTGAATAGCAGTATTTTTTACTATTTCGGTACACTACTCTTCAAACCTCCCCTTCATATTAAAAATGATTAGTTTTTTATTTTGTAGAACAATCGTAGGCAATAATAGGACAAAGGAAACAATCCCTCCCCCCCCAAAAAAAAAAAAAAACCAACCAGCAACGGAAAAATATTTCAAACAATGAGGTTCAAACATTGTCATAAAAAAAGATTGTTAAAAAAATTTAAGAATCACTAAATTTGCAACCACCTACCTACGAATTCGTAGCATACTAAAACAAGCTAAACGAACAATTATTGGTCTTAATGGACCAAAAAATTATGATAAAATATGCGACTTTTTAGCCGCTTTTTCTAACAATGTCATGACCTGAAAAAATACTGGAATACCATAAATTTTACAGTTTCTTGCATAACCACAAAGAAATGACACTTACAGAGTACTGCGTAAAAATTAAATAGAGATGGAGTTAAAAAACTGGGAAAAAGCAGTAGTATGTCCTGAAAACGGTTGCTACCCCCTTAAAACTACTCTAATCATCTAAATAAAAATCGACTTTTGATTCTGGCAAAGACTGCCAAACAAGAAATGTGTATCAATATGAAATCAATCCAGTATAAATGGAGTTTAAAAATTTATGGAAAACCAAACAGTTTGTCCTAGGACGATCGCTACTCCCTTAAAACAGCACTAATCACTTTAATAAAAATCACACATCTTACGCCTCTAAAATTTTACAGTTTGATGCTTAACCATAAAGCAATGGCTCATCCAAAAAAAGAAATGTGTGTCAAAATTAAACCAATCCAGTGGAAACGGAGTTAAAAATTTATGGAAAACCGAGCAGTTTGACCATAAAAGATCTGTACTCTCTTAAAACAGCTCTAATGATCTAAATAAAAACCATACATGTATTTGATGTGTAACCATAAAGCAAAGAGTCTCTCTAAAAAAAAGAGAAATAGTGCCAAAATGAAATCAATCAAGTGGAAACAGAGTTTAAAAAATTATGGAAAACCAATTAGTTTGACCGAAAAATGATATCTACTCTCTTAAAACAGCTCCATTATCTAAATAAAAACCACACATGTGTTTGATGCTTCACTATAAAGCAAAGGCTCTCTCTTAAAAAAGAGAATATGTATCAAAACTAAATCAATCCAATAGGGACGTAGTTTAAAAAAAGAGAAAAACTGGGCAGTTTGTAAGCTAACTAAGAAGCTAACCTAACTAAGAAAAGACACTTTACACCACGAAAATGGTAGAGTTTGAAGTTTAATCAAAAAGTAAAGATTCTTCCGAAAAACGTATGTACCAAAATTTAATTCATCCGGTACATATAGCTTTTAAAAATAGGGAAAAAACCAACCGTTTTTGAGTGAGTCGCCACACCCTTGAAACAACTCTAACTAATTAAGAAACGATTTATTTTACGCCACTAACATGTTAGCGTTCGATTATGCAGGGGGTACTGAAAACAATAGAGGAAAACACCTCGCTGTTAGACCGAAAAACTGTCCCTTCCTCGTTAAACAATAACGAAACGGTTTTATTTTCATTGCTTCTAATTAATTTTATTAATTATCCTCATGGCCTTTCATAAAAATTTATTTTCCAACTTTTTCACTTATTTCTGTGTGCGTGGGAGTACGTTCTACTTTATCTATTTAATAAATTAATTATTCTTTCTAAGGTCTTGGTTGAGATAAAAAAGTCAGTGTCACGAGCGGGATTCGAACCGACGACCTTCGGCTAAATACGCCGCTACTCTACCACTTGAGCTATCGTGACTTCGATCCTCTCGGACACCAACTCTCCATCTCAACCTACAACCGTTCGAATTTTCCCTCTTTTTGCCATTTTCAATGTCGTGTAATTGGATTGGATTCTCAGCGACTTATGAAGTGGCCACGGGGAGCTGTTTCGAGAAGTGGTACTTTTTTTACTTTTTAAATATTAATCCATTTACGTTTTCGTAGTGAATTGAACAAGTTACTTCTTTCAATAAATTAATTATTGTTTCTAAGGTCTTGGTTGAGATAGGTGAGGATCGAAGTCATGATAGCTCAAGTGGTAGAGTAGCGGCGTATTTAGGCGAGGGTCGTGGGTCCGAATCCCGCTCGTGACACTTAACTTTTTTATTTCAACCAAGACCTTAGAAAAAATAATTAATTTATTGAAAGAAGTGACTTGGTCAATTGACTTCGAAAACGTGAATGGTTTATCTATTTATGTTTAACAGATATGTTCACAATAGGTAAAAGAAGGATAAAGGTGAATCGTTTCGATTTCATTGCTTTCAGTGATTACCTTCATCTTTTTTTTTCATTCTCTATTGCATATCTTTAGTTTTTTTTACTACAGCTACTAACTACAAAGGCACATCTATGTCCATTATCACGTTGTAATTTTCTTCTCAGTAGAGTACTTATTAATCAGTGATTCAATATTTAACCTCTGAAAAGAAAAGGTTTTCCTTCTGAAAGGCATTGCATAAAGTAGAGTTACATAAAAAAAAAGTCCTATAAAGATTGTGTTATTATGTGATTTATAGAGGAGAAAAAGCTACTTACAGTGAACATTTAGTTTCCATTTGTCTTCCAAGGCGGAGTCCGTTATCCAAGGGTTTTCAGCGCGGCAGGTCAGATACTTCCCATCATCGTCGATAACAGGAACGAAGGAAAGTATGCTGACGCTTTGATTTCCCTCGTCCGATAACTGCAACAAAATAATATAATTTATTTTCTAAAAAAGAATCATGTTCAAAATTACAAGCCGATGATATTAAAAAAAAATTGTGAAATATTTTTTGGGAAAGAAAAAATAAATGATTACTAACGTCTACATTAAAGACTACATCATCATTTATAAAAAGTTATCATTTTTAAAAGTGACAATTTATTCAAACAATGAATTAAAGTTGTATTCTTAGATGTTATTTTTTACTGAACTTTCCCGTGAGGCTTGGGGTTTCTTAAGGTAAAAAGGTTTTAATGAAACATCATTTCTTTTGTTCCTAGCTTTAGGACTTTGGCGTTCTAAAGGTTACGTTGAATATTTCCGTTGATCCAACTTTTGTTGTTGTGTATTTTCAGGCAGCCTCATTAGCATATGCTAATCTGTACCTACCTCTTGTAAGAGGTTGAGTAGAACATTCGCCCAAATTTAAATACAATTATTGTCCGGATATATTTCCGTTTGATAAGTTATTATTTCTTGAATTAACGGAAATAATTTTTTTCACATCGTTATCATTAAGAATAGTTTCATTTTGAAGCAGTGTTAGACAATATTGCGAATATCATGGGCGAATTAAAAAAATCTGGGGTTTGTACTGAAAATGTTAGTTCATTGACGGATGAAGCAAACGCGCACTAAAACATCCAATAATTGGATTAATATTATATTAAATTCACATTTCCTTCTCAAAGTTTCCCTTTAAAGAGGGTGGGGCCCATTAGAACGGTGTCCCGGTCTTAATTCAATCCACAAGCTCCTCAGGCAACTCTCGACGGCACAGAGATGAAAAATAAGCCTGCCTTCCATTTATTGTCCTCCATGTGATATTAAAACTAATATTTAAATTAAATTGACAAAAAAGAACTGTAATTATTGCAATTTCGAAAACTTGTGTTAAAAAAATCCTGTTTATTTTTTTTCTAGGTTCAAGGTTTTGAGAACACTTTGGAAATATAGACCATTGATACAAGATGTCGAGAGGTAACTTAGGGGTCGTCGGTTTGCATGAAATCTTTTTGACTTGTAAGGATATCTCAGAGCAAAAAATTCAACGGCTCGTTGTGGACTTTATAAATGAGGAATGTGAATTAGTTCTTCAACCTAGGATTTGACCGTAGAGTCATTACGTTTCGGGAAGTACCCTAGGCTTATATGAGTGCTGGGACCGCAGCACTGCTTAACATAAGAAGTAGCTTTCCAAGCCTATAACCGAGACAATCAGCCCTTTCACAGACAGGCCAACCCCTATTTTATATGACTCCTCCACTCAAGTGAATCACCTAATAGGTGTCCCACTTCTCGTAAACTAGGCTTACGTTCTAGAAAGGCGAATGTAAATTGTTGGGGTGCGCAAACAAAATACTAGGGACATTAGATGTTTCTCCTAGACTATACATACTAGGTGTTAAAGAAAGCACTAAACAGAGTTTATGAATTTTAGAAAAGTCGAAATATAATTTTTTCGATGTTCATCTGCCAATAGGCAACTGATTAAAATTGTCATCTTTAAACAAAAATTGATTGAACAAATCTTATAATTTTGTGTTCTACATCCTTCTATAATATGAAATTCTAAATTTTAAGAAATGCTAGTAAAAAATTACAGATATAATTTTTTTATTTAAAACTTTTGCAAACCAATTAGCGTGATTTTTCTTATGCTAAGAATCACAAATCCGTCCCCTCAACGTTAAAATGTCGAATTTTATAAAAATGAGAAGTCAAATAAATTAGGATAATATTGGTATGATGTAAAGTGACGGATAAACGTACTAGAGAGTAGATGTAGCAGGTACCACATAAAGGTACATTTAGCCTTAAAATACACTCAACCCGACACACAGTAATGACACGTTTACACAGAAAACAAACATTTTGAGCCCTGAAGATGATCTCTATAAAGATCGAAACGTTGGCACGCTAAAGAAAATGTTTTTCTAAACCTGTCACACCAGATTGCAAAGCACGATCTCCAAATAATCTTAAAATGAATATAAGCCCGGAAAAAACGCAAGAGACTGTCCATTTTAACCCAATATCACGAGCATTTAGATATGAATTTGACCTTTTTTCCGTTTGTCGAGCTTGCAAAAAGTGTCTGGAAGTAAAACACTATCAAAACAGTAAAATTCTAGGGATAATAAAGAGAGAGGAGATATAACAACAGAAATATTCAACCAAGAAATAAATTATACTTATTTTCAACAAGCTCTAGCGGGGGACATTTTATTACCAATCTCAGCCATAAAAACAGCTGTAAAAAGTCCTTTCAACTTCACAACAGTATTTGGGACACTCCAGACTACGCCATATTTTACATCCTTTTAAATTACTCATCTTTACGGCATGACAAATCTAAATTTAACAAAGACTTAGTTTAAGTTTCTTTACGAGACCCGTGGTTCTTCTGGCAATGTTATTTTTTTTTATTTCAATAGTATAGTGTTTTTTCGTCTGCGTGAACTTTTAACTATTGTAGATGATTCTAAAGGAAATTTGAAGATAAACCGAGATAAATAACTTCCCCTTCAAAGACTTTTCAACCAATAGTATTGCTAAAAGTTTTCAGATTTGATGAAAAACGTTATGAGGTTGCCAATTTATTACATGGGTATATCCAACAAGTATTATGGTACATCGCCTAAAGGTTGACGGTCAAGGGACGAAGCTATTGCAAATCCATGATGTCAACTTGTCAAAGGGATAATTCTTTTACCTGTGCTTTTACCAACGGGAAAACGTTTTATGGGCATTTCTCGCAATGGCATCTTGTCAATTCAGTTCCTTTCCAGCGGACGAAATGACGAACGAGATTGATTTTAGTTAAAAAGCTAACATCAAATCAAAACCGATCTCATGAGAAAATATATGTTACGAAATATCATTGGGAGAAGGTACAGATATAAATAATAACATGGAAGAAAATAGAATAACAAGACGGTTTTAAAAAAATGGTAAAAACTATATTAGTTCGAAGTAATAGCGCTTATTATATATNCTATATATATATACACACATCCCGCTATCATAGTGGCGTCCCTCTGATGAAAAATCGTACGTAAAGTGGTCCTCTAAAAACTGACGTTTGTATATGGACGCCACTTTGCAACTTGTCATTGAAACGAAAATCGTGTTCTTGGATGGACGTCAAAAATTCATATTTACGGGCATTTTCGTATTATTTTGTTGATGGACAATTCCACTCGGCGCCATCGTCGAATTGTGTATACGTTTTAGTTGTTCATTTTACTATATAAATGGTATACGTTAATTTTTTATTATTATAAGGCACTGGCGTCTTATCACCCCAATCCCTTTCTATTTTCTTTTTTCTCACCATTTGCTCGCTCCTCACCGGCTTCGCTTCATGGCACGATCGTGCCCCCAACCTAGCCCCGCATTTCATTCTCACCCAGACCGCTGCAATCCCACCTGCTAATTGGACTAATTAAGTAAACAATTTTTTTGAAGCTATACCTAATTGTCAAAAAAAATTCTGGGTCTTGCTCTACTTTCCTGTTACCAATCTCGTAAACGAGTCATTCAATTTTCGAACTTTCTAGGCTTTTCCGGCAATTTTGAACCGAACCAAATGGTAAATAAATACAAAAATTATTCCCAGTTTTCCTCCGCTTTAACTCTCCTATCTTCGTGATGGCTAGTTCGATTTTCGTATTTTCAATGGTGTACTGTTAGTTTTGAACCCTATTGTCCATCAGCTTTTTTGGGGCATGCCAAACTGCTAGAAACGTAAATCCATCAACGGGTTATAAGTCCTCCTGTGTTTTATAGTCCTCGGTTCAATGGGAAGTTTCACAGGGCCGAGGCATTCTAAAAGGTTCACCAAAGAGCCATCGCAGAAACGAACGACAGATAACTACTAAAGCTAGAACATGTTAGGATTGAAATGATAGTAGGGCTGCAAACTCTGGAGGCATATACTCGGAACAGCAGAAAAAAGCAAGTGCAAACATTGCCGAGAAGAAGAAGAAACAGCGGAACATACCCTACTCCTTGGGGACGAAAATCCGATGCCTGGATGATACACCAGGGAGCTCTTATCAAAGGTTTGGGATCTGATAAAAAGCTTTCAGCTGAACAGAGCTCGAATAAATAATTGAGATGGCAATATAGACCAATATTGGTCGTGGTAATTAAGGTTGTAAATAGTCCTAGTCTAAACCTGATCTTAACAAATTACACCTTAGGTTACTTTACCACAGATGTCAAGCACTGTCCATCTACAAGACCTTTCTAAAACCGATGTGGACGTAAGGAAATGAAGTTTAGGGATCGACGAATAAAACATTTTCAAGTCTAAATTTCAAGTCAAATAAATCGCAATGTCCACCTCTTGCCATTTTTAATTGTCACTGTTAAGTCACTAAACAGAAACGTCCACAAAAATTTAAGCTTTCATCTCAATCTTGGTCCAATATTCTTGGAAAATCCCACTTTTCGTTCATTCCTTTATTTTTCCATAACAAGAAAATTGTTTCCTAATATTTTCCTTATGGAAGCTACAAGATGGTAATAACTTCTTCATAATGTGCCGTTGACCTAGATTAAACAACACGCAATCATGGACTAAAGTCGTATGGTAAAAAAGTTTTTTTTTTCTGTATTCTTATAAAATACCGCCGACAAAACAAGTAAACAAGAATTACGTACCATCATATCAAATAAGATGTGGCATTAAGACAGTGAACCAACAGTGTTACGAGTTGTATTGCGTTTGTAGACGTTGCCTTAAATATTTTCAAGGTAAGAATACATTCGTTTCTACGACAAAAGGGAATTGTAAATATATAAATATATTTTGTTGTCGATAATATTTAATATACAGTATATTAAAAAAACAGCCATGCAAGGATACTAAATAAATTAGATAACATGATATATAGAAGGAGAATAGTACAACGCTTCAAAAAATAAATCATTTTTTCGCTTGAAAAATAAAACAGAACTTGCACGAAATAACATTTTATTCAGTAAATTTGCATTTCTTTGCACAGCTCTTTGTTCAACAAACACAATCAATTAATGTTGCTGTAAGATAATGGCCGAAACGTTGTACAGTGTTTGCTTTCTAATTAGACTAGAGGACAATTACTAATTAAAATTATAACAGGACGGCAAATAATTGAAATGCACTAACTGAAAATCAATTATTATGAACTATTTAGACAATTAATATATATAAAAAATAACAATTAGACGATTTTTTCGTGAAATAATAATTTTGTGATCCCTGAGGAATGTATATGAGTAATAGTTGAATCTTAATGTATATATTTAATATTTATTAATTGTATAAATCTTTGTGTATTCCTTATACACAATACCCTTGCCAGATTGATATTCTTCATTTAACTTAAAACATGATAAAAAGTGTGAAATTACAATATTCACTTATTCATGATTGGGATTTGGACAAAATGATAAAAGCCAAACTTGAGAGAGTAATTGTGAGTTCCTTGATTTCCCTTTCATTGATTTTGTGGGAAAAAACAAACAAGAAAAATACACTCAACAGGATAACTTTTAACCATGCGTCGTAACACGTTTGTCCTCTGGGTCAACCCCTAAGCCGAAAATGAATTTAGTAACCGAACGGGCGGAAGATGGATTAAAAGTGTTTTTTTTCTCTCTCCGAGGTAAAGTTAGTTGTAGGCATAGAAATAGGAAAGCTGTATAAATGCCAGTGCAAGGGATTTAAGGTGCAGACCAGGTATTATGTCTCCCACGGGAGGTCAAGCCCCCTCATTATTCTACCCGAGAATACGAGCCTCTTCCACAACATCTGCAATACACAACATACCAATTACTGATCCCTTTCTCATCTATAAAACAATAATTTGCAAATTATATATGATCTGGAACATTTACGCTACATTTTGTTCATTCTTTTTAATAATAATTTCTTCTAATAACCATTTTCTAATTAATAACAATCTAATAATCTTATTCTTAAAAATATTTTTCTACTGATAATAATAATTTCTTAATTGTTCTTAATAATTCTTAAAGAAGAACTACTATTACGATAATTATTGAACTGAGAAATCAGTTGTTGATCCTAATTATAATAAACCTACAATAATCCATTGGTCAATAGATTATAGAAAACTTTTAATCATTCAATAATACAAAAGACATGATAAAAGAGAAATTTTACATAAAATTAAGAGTTTAATTGTGTTAAAAAAAGGTGATTGTATAATAACATTCATGCTCTTATTAACAGTAACAAAGTTCCATTTCAGTAAAAATGAAAAACGTTTAAACTGTTTGTGCTCAACGAGATCAAGAAATTTGTTGATTTTGGTACATATCCTTTTTCATCTATGAATCTGTAAAATCGACAGAATACAGTTAAAGTTTCTAACTTATCGAGTTTCATCTTCCCTAGGAATTTAGTAATTTCTGTTGGTAATTTGTTGGGTGATATATTAATGGATTTAGAATCAATTCGTTTTTGTGTTGTTTTTTTAATAAAAGGTATAACAAAAATTTTATCAGCATTAGATTATTACTACATAACTATCTATGTACTAATTTATTATGTTCTGTCCAGTAAAAAATTAATGAAGTTCGTCTAACTTAAAATCTGGTTATTTGTATTATTCTATTATTTAATATAAAATTATTGATATATGTATATTAAGAAGAAAATAAGGCCGAGTACAGCACCCTGAGGTATACCTGAAAGATTGTTGAAGGTTGACCTATATTAGATTGAGCTTTTGTAATTTTAGTTCCGTTTTTAGGTAAGATTTAAAAACTTAAAATGGGAGTATCTACGATTCGCGATGACGGAGGATGAGCATGGCTGCCGTGTAGAAGATGGTTTGGGTCATGGTGCCGTACAGCCTGGTAAAATTAACGGTTAATTTTATTGCTAATTGTTTTTAACCCCGATGTAGTTCTATGGAGATCTTTTAAATATGTCTATTCTTCTCCTATCACAGCTAAAGACGACTTCTTAGAAAGAATTGAGGAATCCTGGGCTGTTACGAGAAAAAAGAAGCAGTATTAACTCTTGGGAGGAGTTAAATCGTCATGGAACAATTAACAATTAAAAGTTAATTTTACATTTATGATAACTGACCTTTGAAAAACTAAGCACATGTGTTTACAGCTTATTACTAGTCATAACACTTTTGTAAGCACCATACCTGACAGTATTTACAGCACTAAGAAAACCCATAGGGGGTAGTTAAATTTTTTTTTCTTTTTTTAAGGGATGGTTAGGGTGGTTTTTTTTTACAATGGATACCAGGGAATGGAGGAGTTCCCTCCTGAGCACTGCAGCTGAGTTTTACAGCTTATTGTACTTTATTACTGGCTCCATATTTTTGGGGGAGGGCTCGCAACACAAATGTGAACTTGTGCCCCGTTGTACCGGTGTTCTTCCATCGAAGAAACTCATTTTTTAAGGGGGTCGGGACCAAATTCAGGGTCGCTGAGATCCGATCCCGCCCCTTCCATTGATGAGTGCCGTGTCAATTACTTTCAATTGCGGCCACCGGTCCTCTTAGGCGTCAGAAAAAGTTCAGAGGCGACGGTGGGGATCGAACCCACGACCGCGCGATCTACTAGCCGAGAGTCTGACGCCTTAACCACTCGGCTACCGCCGCCCCTAAAGCTTGAAGTTTAAGAAAATAATTTTGGTTCTATCCTGTTTTTATCAAGAAATGTTTTAATTTCTGTATGATATTTTGTGATTAACCAATGTTTCAAAAGCAATCTAAACCTGGCCGATGATTAAAGTTTCTTTTTTTCATGTAATCGATTTTTGTCAATTTAGATTTAGCAAAAGCCAGACGCAAAGAGCCATGTAAAAATAAGATCCACTTAAAACATAAAAGCTCAATTTTCCAATAGCAAGGGTTGTGCAAAGCGGTTGCATAACTTTACAGGCTTTATTACTTTAAGCGAGATTGGATCCTATGTAGAGAACAAGCGGAGATCAAGAGCGGACGAGATTGGGAATGAAAAAACAAATTAAGATCGAGAGAAGGAAGAGGTGGGTCGGGTGCAATCAATGTACATTAAATTGTTACAAAAAACTACAATTGTTAATATACAAATTTCCTGAGAAAGTTTAACTCTTTTTCAAATAAATCGTTACTATATTATATGTTTAGATTTTTTGCCTATTATTTTTGGGGGGAATTTTCTTCACTTGAGATAAATGACTGCACTTATTCATTTCTTGGCATAAATATAAATAATTATATAAGTACTAATATGAAGATTAAAATTAAATTTCAATTTAAAAAACAAATTGTAATAGCTTTTGAAGAATTTCTTAAAAGCTTTAATTATCACTGAACTGTATTTGTACATAATGTATCAAGAATACATCATTTTATTGCAATATTAACAAAAAAAGGATTATGACTGTCCTAACTGTATAGTTCGCATTACGCAAAAAGATAAAATTTAAATTGCAAAATATATAAATTTTACGTTGTTTGTTTAAAAGTTGAGAATTTTTTTAAAAATTAAGTCCCAGACATCATTTGTTAATATGTTAAAACTATTTCCATTCATTCTTCTCACAGTATATATTCCAGAGAGGGGAATGTTTAATAAATATGTCGAATACCATTTGGACTATACACTTTGTTATTGAGTTAACACTGGCGATAAAAAGGAACCGGTGTTTAGTTTGGAAAAGCTCAAAGTTTTGCACAATAAAACTTACGTTTTTAGCAATCCTTTTGATTTGACGACTCCCTTTCCACCATGTCACAACAGCTTCGGGTCTTGAGCCGCTCGCTTTGCATTCTACTTCGTATCTTTTATCAGCTGATATGTGCCGTTCTTTGTTTAGTATATGTACCGCGACAGGTTTCACTGTAAAAAAATAAAGAAAGAAAACAATTAGTAGAAGTAGTAATTATGTCAACCGATACTAAAAATAGTAATACACTTTTGAAAAAATTTAACGAACTATTCAATTTATTTAGTTTACAAATAAATCCATGATCATTTCACATCTGTTAATGGTACAGGTAATTAGACGCTATCGTAGTCAAAGTAAACAGTAAATAATATTTGCGTTACATCCTTTGTTTACTTTTTACTGATTAATGCCATTTGCGCAAAAAATTAGCATTATGCCCTTCCATTCTGCTTCGCCTAAACATCGTTCTCAGGAATTTTTTTTCCTTCTTTGTTTTCATTTGACATTCTTCTTCTTATTAATTCTTAAACCTTTTTCAATGGCTCTAGTTGGGTATTTGAATGAATATGACAGTGTCATGTTATAACATTAAAGGAAGAATACAGCCAGCGAGATGTTGCCAGGAGACTGAGTGTAAATCACTCTACAATAGGAAGGGGGTTCTTCGGCGCTTCAGAAAGACTGGGAATCAAACTACAAAGTCAGAAAAGGGTCTCCGTATGAGAGAGACGATAAATTCATCCGTCATAAGGCTCTATCAGGCCCTGCAAAACTTCAGCATGACAAGAATCGTGATAAGAAATCTGATAATCTATATGCAAAATGTTTCAATTTTTATCCAGGACTGTAAGAACAAGGCTCGATGAAAATAACCTCAGAGCCCGGCACCTGGCTCGTGGACTGCTACATACTACAGCTCAGTGAATGGCTAGGATTCAATTCGCACGGCGACATGTGAATAGACTTTGGAAGATTGGACTAGTTCTCTTTACAGATGAAGTGAGAGTTGGCCTTAAATCTTCAGTTGTTTGTGATTTCATATGGAAACGCTTAGGAGAAACGTACGACCACGGTTCCTCAGATGGCACTCTATGGTGGATGTTCTGGAATTGCATTTCCTTGGACGCCTGCTCGGAATGGTTGTTGTGCAAGGAAGATCTCTAACTTCACAGAGGTTCCTACAAGACACAATCAAAAAATATGTAGGGCCATTTGGGCCCCATATCGGTGAGAGATTATTGCTAATGCAGGATAATACGGGAAGTTATTGATTTTTCTGTTTTTTTGTTCTTTACTCAATAGTTCTTTTTTTAATTAGATATAAAACAATTTGTTTTTAAATGTTTTATTGTTATAACCAAACCTTTTTTTGGTGTGAAAAATATGAATAAACCTAAATACATTAAAATTTACGGGTTGGTTAATATTTTCCATAAGTGTATATATAAATAAAAAGTAACATAAAATAAATTTATGTATTATAATTTTATAGTATGAATAGAATGATAGGTGTACCCTAAATAAGTGTAAATTTATTTTGAAGAACTAGTGATGCCCTCCGAATATCCTATCGAAAAACATCTTGAGTTTATCAAAGCTTGGTCAAAAAAGTGGAGGAGTAGACTGGATGAGGAATATACACTGTAATTTACTTTTACTTGTCCTCCACTGTAAATCAACATCAAGGAGGTGCTAATTTCTATTTAAATCAGATAATTAGCACTATACCTAAACGGCAAACTGATGTGAAATCCCTACACGTAGACATAAGAGACGACTTAGCAAAAGTCTCGTCACAACTACGAAGATTGTTAGGACGGAAAACTGTTTTGACCTTCAAATATCATATATTCCAACCAGTGCTGTCTTCTACTGTCTTCTATCCCGAATCTTATACAAGCAACATCCAACATCCAATAATAATTTATTTATTTAGAAATCGTGAGATGCGGTCTGGTGTGATGTAGGTTTCAGAAAAACATTTTCTTTATCGTGCCAACGTTTCGATCTTTATTGAGATCATCTTCAGGGCCTGGGATTTACAAACATTGTTTACATATAACAATTACATTTTGGATGTGGAAAAGTGAATTTATACAATGCAAAATAAGTGTTTGTCTTCTGTGTAATTGTGCCATTCTTGCGTGTCGTGTCGGGAGTGCCAGTGAGATTTTGCCATTTTGTGTTTATATACAAAAATGTCTTTTCTATACCGACATCCTTCCCCACCCCTTCAAAATCGAACGTATATAAACACAAAATAGCAAAATCTCACTGGCACTCTCGACACGACACGCAAGAATGGCACAATTACCCAGAAGACAAACACTTTGAGTGAGTAAAAATACTTTGATTGAATATATAAAAAATATATTTTGCATTGTATAAATTCACTTTTCCACATCCAAAATGTAATTGTTATATGTAAACAATGTTTGTAAATCCCAGGCCCTGAAGATGATCTCAATAAGGATCGAAACGTTGGCACGATACAGAAAATGTTTTTCTGAAACCTACATCACACCAGACCACATCTCACGATTTGTAAATAAATATCGATTAACGGTCACTAATCACCACACATCCAATAATACCTTTATCTTTGTTCTATTTGCTTTGCCTTTGGATATCCAGCAATTGTGCGAGTAGGTACAATAATCGATAAATGACTAACTTTAAAATATTAAATAAATAAACAGATAAATAGGCAAACCAAATAAATAACAAGTAAACGATCCACAAGTTTGTCGTCGGGCTGCTAGGAAGGCTCGCCCGGCATTCGAATCACTGCCCACGGAACCGTCTCGTCCACACGTAACTATTTACCATTTACTTTGGGGTTTCCATTCCCTTTGTTACAGTTGGACCAGGAGAATATCAATAAAAACCATAAGCACAATTTAAGTTTATCAAAGACTTGTGCCAAATGTGGGGGAAAACTGAATGAAAGAAAAAAATTTACCCTGTCGTATCTTCCACTGTACATGAACAAATGACTTACACTTAAGTCAGGTACTTAGACAATAAACAAGACTTAACAGTAGATTGTGACATCTACGAAGACTTTAAGGACTTTTGTTCAAGGTGCCGTGCTGGTCATATTGCAAGTATTGCGACCGGGATAAAAAAAAGAAGAAAGAACATACGTGCCGATATTTTAATTTGATTTTATATGTGCAGGCGCAAAAGATAAATTGTTGATTCACAAAACAATAGAATACGTTTATCATTGAATATAAAAGTATCACCCTTTCTGACTGGAAAATTTTCTTTATCGTTACGCATTTTCCAATACACCTAAATATACATATCTTTTGAAAATAAATTTGACAAGGACATACTTATAAATTTATTTTATTTTTCAACCGAACTGAGAAAGGTCAGCAAGTCCAAACCACTCTTCGTCTCCTCCCGTAATGCTCTTCTACAAATAGAACGATCTTATCATACTTTCGAAAAACACTATCATAGATAAGAGTTTTCAGGAAGGGCGAAAATAGACCTGGACTCCAAAGTGAACGCGACAGAAATCCGTACGACTAACGAAAAAATAGATGTTATGATATGAAGCTTTACATGGAAAGACAAGTTTTCTACGTTCTCGTTTTTAATTAATAACGATAAGTTGATTTTTATATGTCCACATGATTTGATGTTTATATGTTAAATTTGTTTAAATTATCCTTTCTAAGGCCCGTTTCAACAACTTGGTTTAAACTGAGTTCAGTATTGAACCGAGTTCAACTTGTTCTTTCTTATGCATATTTCTAATCATATTTATTTTGTTTTTCGAATCAAGAACATGTCCGCAAATTTTATTTCTATTGAGATAGAACATCAATTTTATGTCCCATGTGGATTTTATGATAACAAACATTATGATAACTCACCAAGTCGTGCTATTATTAAACCGAGAAATTCATAAAATTCATAAATTTTATGCCAAAGGCCTTAATTTAATATTAATAATTGATCCGTTAATTTCCATTTATTTGACAATAGAAAACATTTTCCCTCTAACCTGTATTTCTTTATACAATATATAACTTGTTGATTTCAACGGAAGTGATGCTTATGATAAAATTCTATAAGTTTTAGGAAAATGTTTCATTACAGTTTTCATAAATGTGAGATCTACAAGTACATGGTAATCCGAAGCAAAAGGCAAACGTCTTCATTTTAGAATGATAAATCCGGCAATTCAAAAGGTATTAATACTTACGACAAACTACTAATAATTTTAGCATTATTTTTTTAAATCACATTTCAAACACACTGTTGTTATAATGTAACTATTTTATAAACAACTAAAAGCTAGTGGAACTAAATCTGAATAACAAAAGTTAAATCGTGAGCAAGGAAGTGCCTTAACAGTAATAAATCTATCCATTAGTAAACGAAATTTCATTTGGATAGTGTGAAAAGTGATTTAAAAATTAAAGAACATTTGGTACACTAGTCTTGATTTTAACTTTACTATTTCTCCTGGTGGAGGAGAATTCAATATTTATATGTGAATGGCTGTAGAGAAGACCAAGTAATACGTATGCTCTTGGTAAACGTGCAATTTTTTCTTTAAATTTTTTTTTAATAATAACATTTTCTCTGCCAAAAATTTCAAAATGATGTTTTTTAAAAATTATTCTTGCATGAAATGTACATGTCGAATATGAAGTTTTGTTGCCACTGTTTCTTTTAGTTGATTTTACCATTAACTAATTATTAATTGCACTTCCATTCCATTCTCTTACAAATCAAACACTCGATAACTTTCCGCCATTAATTTAAAACTAATCCTATACGTTGCTTAATTAGACTATTATGCCTTTAACAATTAAAGTACCTTTCCAGATTTGTTGTTTGTTATCCAAAGTGCGTAAAAGTTAAAGTATTTACAACGCAAACGTTTGTAATCATAAAGTTAAATCCGAGCTGGAACACTGTGTTGTATACCTTGTCTAGTAATTTTGTTTGTTGTTGTCGGCCTCATTAATACGTAAATATATCCCACATGCGGCGTGTTCGTTTAGCTCAATATCAACATTTGATCAGCCAATTATTTCTCGTCAATTAACACCGTACGTTGAACTTTAATATAAGTCGTCGAATTATGCCAAGTCCTTCGAAGTATTGACTGATTTATTTGGTCGAAGACAATGGCAATGGAAGTTGTCTATTAAATTCCGCTACAATTATAAAATAACCTTAAAGGACTTGAAGTTACGGTTCATAAATATTATTATACTTTTGAGTTTTTATCTTGCCTTTTTAGTTTTTCATGTAGTTCTATGCTCACATTGTATTAATGAACATACAATTAGGTCAATACCGTAATTTGAAGCCGTTACTAGCCGTAAAAGTTGGAAATCCAATAAATAATTCGTGCTGTTTTGCTTGTTTTCAGACTTGTAGTGAAACTAAGAAGACAATTTGTCTTCCATTTTTTGTAAGGATATTTAGGAATCACAATTATTCTTCCGGGTGTCTAAATATCATACATTATTGGTGTTACATTTAGATGAATATTGATCCATTTATATTTAATTGTGTAATGGACCAAATTACTTATTTCAATTTAATCAGATGAATATTTTCCTTCTTCATGAGTTAAGAACTACTTAGGTAGAGATCTTTTATTTAAATATTTTTATATTAAACCAAAGCCCTTTGTCACAGAACAAAACTAGTCAGTCATATGATATGCCAAACTGTAGAAATGATTCAAATCATTTTTTGAAAGTTTATAATAAGTGTCATGTCTTGATGAATTCGCCATCCTTTACGCTGTTTGAAGACGATCGTCTTTTATATAAATCTCCCATAAGCAAGACGAATCGGTTTTTAAGTGTTTTATGGCATAAATTTGGCTGCAATGGGAAAAAATGCTAGATCGATCGCTTGCCATGAAATTTTGTATTTTTCTCACATTTCGATTCACGTTTCTCCAAAAATCTTCTGAATATTGAAAGAATTCTTTTGTTATTTTGTAAAGCAAGTATAGTGAAGCAATGACAGAAGTATAATTTTTAAAACGATCCAGAACAGAAAAAATAAATGGTTGTTTTAATTTAAAAAATCTATAAATTTCGTTTGTATAATACAATTTGCTGACAAAAATGAACACATAGTAATTTTTCAAAACCCCTTTCTACGATTTTGTAGTATCCTAAGAAAAAAAAACAATGGATTAAAAAGACCAAAACGATTTTTAGAAAATGGTAACAAAACATGGTAACACTTTTGACCTCTCTTTGAGTTTGATGGTCAAAATTGCTTATATACAGTTCAATTGTAAGTAAGCTGGAAGTACAAACTCTTGTGTAAATGAAATACATGTAAAATTAAAACTTTTTTGAGTACACGTTTAAAAAAAATTAAATTGGGAAAAACCTGCTATTCGTACGAAAAACGGTCGCTGTCCCACTAAAACAGCGTTAATAACAAAAAACATTTTACGTCACTGATAACTGACGAATTAAACAAAAAATTCTAATGTATATCAGTAGTTTTACAAAGAATCTGTGTTCTGGCATTCTCCTAGGGTACATCCAATAGGTGAAATGAACTGATTGGAATTAACTATGGCAAAAAACATAGTAGTAGTAAATTTTCAGTTTTATGAATAAACATAATAAAAAATAGTATAGAATACTTACAGTTAACATCTAATATAACAACTTTGGTAGCTGGTGGTGCCAAATTCGTGTTCGATGCCTGACATATCAGCCTGGCGTTGAGGTGCTGCCTACCGACGCTAGGAAAGGAGAGATGGTTGACCGTGAGACCGTCAGGCCTATGCTCGTACGAGTCGTCAATTACTGTATTTTCTAAGTACCATATCACGCGCGGCCTTGGTCGCCCTGGAAAAAAGTTTAAGACATTGTATTAACTTATAGTAAAATCGTGACAATTATATTTAAAACTTTCTTCGTAGTGGTACGGATGGACTTCGGGCGTATTGAATGCGAGGAGTGAATTACCAAAGAAAAATATATCACTACTAAAAATTGATACCATAGACATAAATGAAAAATCGTTCCATAAGGAAATTGTACGATTTTATAAGCGTTTAATATGGCGGTGTTTGTGAGATACGAGTTTTGAGAGGGAGCTTTTACCGTAAAAATGTCCTCGACAAACTCATATACTATAATGCACTTACAGACACATCCACCACGTCTAGATCAAAATGATTAAACTTGCACCCCAACAGCTTGATCGCACAATCAACTTGAAGAAAGGGTTAATAAATAATATTATTATTAAATATTGAAAACGAAAATAACTTCTATGTCAAAATTAAATTTTCTTTTATAGTTAGAACATTAAAACGTTTGTATCAAGTCTAACAATAAAATTAAGAAAATTTACACGAAGTTATTTTTTTGCCTGCATAAGAGGCTTGACAAGGATTGATGCTGCTTTAAGTAAAACCCAGTGGAACTTAAGGAAAGGAAGTTAGAAGACAGTGAAATTCATTAGATGGGCAAAATTCGTGCCAGTATAGGGCACACTGGTGAGACAATGAACCTTTAACAAAAAAAAAACAAAAAACAATAGAGCAAAGAAAAATCAAGTTTCTCATTCAATAAAATTTAAATTTTATTTTGTTTTTGTACTAAATTCATTATTTTTATGTTAGAAAAAATAAATATATTGTCTTTATCAATTTGCCCTACACAATTAACAATTGATCAGCCTTTATGGCGTAACTATTCTTAAATAATAGTGTGGATTTGGATAATAAACTGATTTCGCACAAAACTTTAAAATATAGAAGATATTGAATAAGTAAAGATTAAGTAATAACCAATCAATAACTTAGCTACTGATTGGTTATCACTTAAATAATTGATTAATTGGCTATTAATTAAATTATTGATTAGTTATTTCGTAGTTATTACAAGTAATAACTAATCAATAATTTAGTGATTACTATAAATTAAATTTTTGTCAAGAATATATAGCAAAGGTAAGTTTAACACTTTTAAAAATACTTCTCACGCAATATGTTTACATTATTTGAATTTATTCAGTGTCCCCAGAGGGAATTTCTTTAATATATCAAAAGCAATTTTGTTATTTCATAAAACTCCGTATAAATCGTTTACTCGCCAACATAAAATGACGTTTTTCATGTCTTAATTTTTCATTTCCGTTTATACAGTTCGGAAAACTATGTCTCTTACATATATAGCAGATATATGAGAAAGCACAAATAAAAACTTTTGAAATATTTATTAAATCTCTCTCCCAACATAAGCCGGCTTTCTTTGTGAGGCTGGAGACAAGATCGTTACACGTATGTACAAAAGTTGTTGCGAGAGTTTTCAAGTTGGCTTTGACGAAGTTGCTATTTTTTTCATGATCTTGGGAGGGAAAAAGTAGCAACATCACGTGTTACGATGTAAATTAGTGGTAATGTTCACTACTTTTTTATACGGGGTGCCGACTTATTAGTGAACACTCAAGGTTTTCTCAAAAACAACTCAACCTAGGAAAAAAATTACACTTGCTATCTTTAGCATAAACTCTACTTTTAAACATTTTTCAGACAGAAGATTTACAAAATAAATAAATACGTGTTAAATGGTTTTGTGTAAAGTGTCATGTATCGACTATATTGATGTCGAATATGTATTTCTTAATCATATTTTAACTTGAGCAAAGTACTGAACGGGTTGTTGATATTTCTATCGTTCACTGCTTGTTAACTGCTTTGTGTTTATATCTAACAATCTACTAATCAATGTGTTTGGGTAGTTATTGTTTCCTAAAATTAAGAAGAATAAAGAAAGCTAAGAAAGGGCGCTCTCTCTAAGCATGTACTGCTTAGTGTCAAAGCTCTCTGTACCAAATTATTATCTCTTAATTACCACCTATGCATCAATGTGCCCTCTGGACCACTAATCCCTTTCACGTCTAGATACGGAATATAGTCTCTGTTTTCAACTTCATAATTGTATGTTGTCATGGTAACTATTGAAAAAGGTTGAGAAGAATAATTAAATTACTCTTCGGTATAATCAGAAACAAGTCATCGACATGCATACGAGCTTAATATTGTAAGTGACCTAATCGACCTAACCCAATCAATCAAATCTTTCATTAGCATATCTGCAAAAATATGGAACAATTTTGTTCTCATATTTAAAATATCAGTTCATTCAAGAGAAAATCAGTAAATCAATGAACAGATCAAGCGGTACATTGATAAATTCACACACGTTTTGCCAGCGTTGCAATATGATATATTATTATATTCAGAGAATTAAATTAAATAAGGATTTAACATGGAAGGAAATCAGAAAGGAAAAGGATACTCTTTATATACAGTAATATTCTTTACCTTTTCTATAAACTCAAATGAATTTTTGACCCTGTATTTGTCCTCACACTAAGTCGGACATTTGGTCTTAAACCATTTCGACAGACCGTCCTACAGGTGATTGGATTATATGTCTAAGAGGTAAACTTTCTTTATGTAACACATAAATTTAGGAGAACCCGTTACAGGTGTAATAATAAAATGAGGTCTTTGCATACTAAACTCAAGGATAATGAACAAAAATAGAATTTATCTAATGTTGTATGTAGGATTTCGTGTAGTGAATACCCAACCAAATACATTGGTCAATCAAAACAGAAAATGAAAAATACAATGGTCATGTTTTTGATTTTGGTAATAGTTCCAGAAATGATACCGCGCTCTCGAAACATTCACAAGAGTAGATAATAATTTGATTTTTGTAATGTTTAAATAACTCACACAGAGTCTCGATTACCCAGAGTATGAATCAGAGGTGTTCTACATTCTAAAATGGAAAATAATAATTGTAACATTGAGATAAATACTATAGGCTTAAGTTCAATTTATGAAGGTCTTACTAATTTTCAAAAGGCGGTTTTGATAACGAGAGATCCAGGATAAGGTCAGTAGTCCTTGGCAAAGGGTACTGAGTCNGTCAAAGAAATTTGAAAACATATTTATTAAACCGTTTTTATCAAAAACTTAATTACGCCATTTTAAGATTGTTTTTTAAGATCTATATAGTTGTTTTGATTGTGGAATTAACTGTACTAATATGTATTCAAAATTTGTATTTAATGTAGACCTTGACGATAACCTTACAATCGGTTGAAATTGTGGCACGGGTGGCACATAACAATTGAATTTGTTTTTGTTATTCAGACCATACCAAGAACCAGATTATTCGCAAAATTTTGAGTTACAAAGCGTTATCTTAATATAATGAGTTCTACTGTTAAAGTGTAACGAGATATATTGTTATTAAAAATTATATTACATTAATTATCATTTTATTTAAAAACTTTAAATATTGATATTCTTTTAGTTATTGTACTGTATTTAACACATCTGAGAAGTATTTTGATTTAGTTAGCTAACGTTAAATTCTAAAAAATTACTTGTATTGTTTTTTCAAAGGGATGGGTTTTTTCTTTGTGTATAGTGCGCCATCCTTTTTCCTACCGACCGTCGGACTGGTCGTCAATCAATCTTGTGTAACATCCACTACGGGGGGGGGGAAGATGTAATCAAAGTTAGAAGGTATTATAAATTACACGGTTTCCGGTTATCAACATGAACCAATTCACACAATAATATTATAACAAGTGGCCAATTAAGGTACGCTTTGAATTATTGTAAAGGGCGAGACGGGGTTTTGACATTAAGTAATACGTCGCGAGGTTACGGTCGGTGACTATTGAGCTACTATTAATTAACTTTGTATCTAGTCTTAGCTTAACATTAGCTGGTGTTAATTGGAACTGGCTAAGGAGAGGGACGATTAGTTAGTTTCTACTTGATGGAACACTGTAGGGAAATTTGGTAAATTGCAATTTGGTAGCTAGGGCAGCCACCTCTCACGTACATGTAATCAACAAAATTCAGTAAAATCCTCAATTAATCAACAATTACTGGCTTATATCCTGTGCATTTGAATAAACGATCAAATATTAAGAGAAATATCTATGTATTATTATTCTTTGCGAAACACAGTGAACACGCAAAACAACTTCATCACGTATATAATTTAAATTATTAAAAATAAATTAAGAAACAATTAAACGTTATTTTTAATTTTTATCGCCACTCTCTGAGCTCACCCTATGTTAAAGAAGTTGACTTTGGCAGTGTATACTGTGTACAACAACGACCGAGGATGCTACCCTGTGGGACTCCTGCATCAACCTCATCCAAAGAAAAAAAGAAGATCCAAGCCAAAATCTAAAGCATCTGTCAGCAAGAATACATTTTTAATTAAATTTACTGGACACCTTTACAGCACAGACGTTAGTGTTTGACCGAATATTGTTGCGTACTTAATGAAGTTTTCAAACCATGTGAAGCAGATTTTGTGATTAAGACACTACATTCCATTAAGCTGGTCTTTCTTGTTTCTTCTATATTTAGCTGAATTTTCTGTACATAATCTGTTTAAGAAGATTTGATTTTTCTCGAATTTATTTTGTGCTAATAATCACAAGGTTGTGTGTTTTTCTTTCTTGCGTTTCGATATCATTTTAATATCATATCCTCAGTCCCTCGATTTGTCAACCGATCGGGTAATACTTTTGTTATCATGGTGTTTTTTCGCCAAAACGCTCTCACTGAACAGATTTGTGGCGGCACGATAAATTCCTGTGTATTCCTAAACGCACGAAATTATATCCCATACATCACTCGGTGAATAATGAGGTCCCATAATTGCTCATTGACATAACAACGCCTTATAACTCTTAATAAAACTGGCTAAGATTGCAAACTGGGTACGTGGGTACGGATAATGAGCTTGTGTTATTAAATAATGTTTCATTAATAAATTACAAAACAAAATCCTACTGATAAAGTTACATGAAATCTAACGTAACATGTTTTAAATAGTATTAACTGATCGATAATAAACTCAACTAAAAATATATGAAATAAAAAAAGGTTTTCGTGTATAAGTAACCGAAGGGATTGTATTTGGTTTTTCTTTTTTAGAAATGTTTTCTTGTAAAACGTTTTTGGTCATTCGAGTAAATCACGACGGGGACATTTCAAACGGAATACCACGTGTACACTTTACTTCAATCGTTAAAAAGTAATGTATGCCGTTTAGCTTAAAGCCGTGTGTACACTGTGAACACTGGGGGACGTTTCATAAATACACCCTGGGTTATTTATTTATTCCCGATATAATACTTTTCAATGGTCTTTGACACCGTGCTTCGAACAGTGAATTTTAAATACCATAACAATATATATTAATAACAAAACAGTAATTTTTGTTTTGACAAACAATATTGGGCTGTTTTGGTCTTAGGCTTGAATCCGAACTGAATACAACAAAGCAATCGAGGAGTAAATTTTTTTTTACTAATTAACTTAAAAATAAGTCGTTTTTTTAAATATTTCAAAACGAAAAATACAATAATTGTTATATATTATATTGTAGGTTCATGGTTTATATCGTTAAATTAAATTTAGTTATCCTCGTCGAAAAAACCCATTCTCAGGTAAAATATTTCAAACCATTTTGAAAAGTTATTATGTTTATTTGATTAAGATAGAATGATGTAACATAAATTAAACTAATTATTTATTTTATGACGTGTTACCTTGACTAAATTACTATTTGGAAAACAGAGTAAATTAGTAGGTTTTTTCAGTAAAAGTGAAAAGACAACGAAAACCCGTCATTTCGTGGTTTGAAAAGAAATAACAACAGCAAAGATCGACGTTTTGAATTTAGCAAAAGTAGCCAAATGTTGAATGACTCACATGACGTCCCACACCGCTTTTAAACGTTTAAAAAATCATAAATAAATCGCCCACTCAATTGAAGGTTAGTTGGAGAACGATTGTTTATAATTTAAACAATCAACACACGGATTACCCTTCGACGAAAATTTCTTGTTAGTAGAAAGTCAGTAAGATCGGTATAATTTACCTGCTGAGACTTCACAGACGAGATTCACATCGGTACCTTCGTTATAGGGCTCGAGAAGTTTCGTCCTGTCTCTCCTTTTACCGTCATAAATTACTGGTCTCTCTGGTGGCACTGAAACAACACACCAAATTAATAATATGTTTCAACAGATTATAACACATTGATTACTTATTTTAAGATATCTTTAATAAATTACATCGAAATATTTATTGACAGGGAGAAAATTTTCAAGAAACAATGTTGACATAGGTAAATATACAGTCGCGCTAGTTCGACCACGTCGGCGGTAGGATCTTTTTTAAGGTAAGACAATATAGTTTTCAATATTACAGTTAAATTAAAACCATATTATTGGTATCGTGTCTTGGCCCATACACTTTCTATCTTAAGCCATGAGACTTGCGTGGTATTGAACTGATTATTTGGTCTTTTACGAACGTTTCATATTATCGACATCTTAACTTGAGTTGTAAACAATATTCTTAATAAAAACTGAAATTGGTAAGAAGTATTAAAAAATTAATTTTTTGTCAATGTCAAGCAGAGAATAACAAAAAGTTAAAGTTTTCGTAATGTCGATTAATGTGAAAATAATCGATTCTGGAACGCATCACATCTCGTGCGTATTTATTAGCGTAAGTGGTTGAATATGTATGGGTGAGTTAGAGGCGTAATATTAAAATACCTTGGAGGATGGTCAATTCTTTTTTAAATGTACTGTTTGTAAAGTTACGTCCTGTTGCATTTATTAGCGCAAATGAGGGTGTAACTGAACTAACAATAAGATATAAACGGCCAGGAAGATGTGCAAGTAACCTTGAAAATTATTCTACTTGAGTGAACAGTTATCGCCGGAGAGAACAAAGTATGGCCTATCAACGATTCTCAAATAACGTTTGAAATACAGCACATAGAAATTGATTGGGTTGCCTCAAGTTCTTGTATATAGCCTCGTTTGATGGGCCTTTCACCCATGGTTATCTCTTATTGAGTGTATTTATTAGCCTGAATATTGAAAACCTGTGGGTGGGTTTGAGGGTTAATGTCAAATACCCCTGGCCTGCGTATTCTTTTTTAAACGTACTGTTAGAAATGTTCTGTTTTGCATGAACGTGTTTATAAGCGTGAATGAACGTGTGACCACGGTAGCTGACTGGTTACCGTGAAAGGCTCTGGGCTCGTAGACCGCAGTAGTAGGCTCGATTCCCACAATCACACCTGGAATAATTATCCCGCTCTCCTTCCCCAAAAATAAAACATATACTACAGGTAATCTTGTTAATATGTAAAAGCATAATGGAAATAAAAAGTTGTAACCTCTATGAAATAATGGGTATATATATATATATATA